TCCGCATCTTCCACACCGGGCTCGGCGAGGGCGAAGACGACAGCGATATCAACCTCAAAGTGATCCGGCCGATCCCCTTCGGAAAGGATGACGAGGAGGTTGACGTTGAGAAGAAGTGCAGTACCAAGGTGCTGGATGTTGATGATAGTGCCAAGGATGCTACGCTTGTGGGGGATGCGAGTGAGAAGATTCGGTTTATTAAGGGGGATGGGGCGAAGAGAAGAACTGCTACGTCCTTGTTCTGATGAGGATTGAATGGTTTGGATAGGTTATGATAGCGAATGAAATGGATTTATTACTATGAATGGGTTTCTATGTGGTGGTCAAGTGTCGCGTGTCAGGTTAAGCTTGAATCTACGCTTACCTCTTTGAGATTTTAAGGCTGAGACGACAACGACGACCCTTTTCTATTCTTTCCACTTGATCACCTAGTTACCTAGCAATTGCAAAAGGTCTTCAGAGTTCCTGGTGAGACGCAAATTTGGCATATGCAGCTCTGCTTACAGGCAACCTCTAAACCCAGACATATTTCTCACAGAGTCTGAGAAGAAGCATGATACAGATCAATTATTAATTAGTGATCACATCAATTCGATCTTGTACTTTTCCATCGCACAGGAAGAACTTTAGAAGCCAATCCCGTCAGCTCGAGCTTATGTATTTATCCTCGAAAGCGTCCTTGATCATCGTCTAAGCCACGATAGTGGACAACACTAACAAGCCTGGGGGGGCCAAGCATCTCAAAATAGCTCCCTAGCTCCCGCGAATTCTCACCTCTATGTACACACAACTGTAATAAAGTCTCCGAAATTATGCTGTAGCATCATCAACAGATCATCAGTTCATCTTTGTAGCACACGACGCAAAGCCTTGGCATGCTGACAGCTCAGCAAGGGTGCCAGAAATACCCAGTCCAAAACCCTCCTACATGTACTCAAGCCTTTTTGTCACTTGGAATTACCATGTAATAAAAAAGGATCATCTGTGGATACTGTCAGCAACGTCTGATCCACAATTTAGGGAATCAGAGGCGAGGTGCAGATAGTTACACAGCCCTACTGTCGTTGTCCAGGAGAGAAGCATAAACTGATCTGTTTGCAAGGTATCAACTGAAGCGTTCATCATGATATAACGACGTTGAGATGTGAAACACGCGTGCCGTTCTTTGACGTGGCTGATAATGCCGAGCTAAGATAAGATCTGCAGGCATGATTCGCATTGCATTGCGTTCGTCTGGGACATTTTTTAAGGGACGGTAACACAACGACGGATACAGACGAAAAGAATTAAAAGACTATTTTTGCAGGGAGACTCAGACTTACTGTAACCGAGCCTTGCGATCGATCGTAACTTGTCCACTCAGACTTCAGTCAGCCTCCCTTTTAAACCTGAACAAAGCTCAGCCTTACTGCACCTAAGCTATATATCCTTGTATAGTAAATTGGGTCTGCATCATCTTCTCAGCAATCCTTCATATCCAACTGTCTTGGCAATTCATTCTTATTTTCCCTCGATGAAGAGCAGAGCTTGACTTGTTCTTCACTGTAGAGTAGGCTAACTGAGGCCCAACCGCGCACGAACACATCCGCAATCCAGGATCATCACTCCTTGCCGATCTTAAACTTGATCTCTCTTTGTGTCTTACATCCCTCAATCTCTATACCGCTTGCGCCACCCTTCGCCCAACGATCCCTGCCGAAGGAACTGACCCAACCCAACAACACGCATCACAATCTGACAGGATTTAGCATGGGTCCCTCATCCCAGCTTCTCCAGGTCCAATTTTGCAATCCCCTTCCATAAACAAAAACACACAAAAAGAAAAAGGGAACCTCTCTTCTCGCCATGGCTGAGCCAGAGGACATACACGCCCGCAAGCCCTCCGGTATAAACATATTCGGAATCTCTGGCAGCGGCTATCATCATCTAATGCCCCACGAAATGGCCGATCTTCACAACCCCTCGCCGGAAGCAAAAACGGGCAGCAGTCCTCCCGAGACACCGCATTCCTTTCATAACCTGCTTGGCGGGCACCCAGCGGGGAGTTCTTCTTCTAGTCCCAGAGTCGCTGATTCTCAAGGAACGCCTGAGCCGTACTCTGAGATCTGGGCCCCTTCTATGCCGCGCGGTGATGAGAAGAAAATCGATATGCCTAGGACCATGGAGCGAGAAGTCAAGATGAGTGAGGGCGGGAAACTTCCCAAGATTGTGGAGCCGAGGGGGGATGCGATGGATGATGAGTTTGATGATGAGATTTTTTATAAAAAGTTTGGTAAGTTTTCTCATTTCATTGTTGAGGGTATGAGACTTACTTGAACAGCGGAACCTCCAAAGGGTTGTTCGACAACACGAGATATTCACCAGCCAAGATCAAGCTGGCTCTCAATTACCATCTACGTCCTCTCCGTCTACTCAACAGTCGGCAGCGGAATCTGGCTCGTCACAGCCATCCTCCAACCAAGATGGGGACACAAAATCGCCTCCGGCGCATCCCTCTCACCATCAACAGCAACAACCCTCGCAGCACTACTAGCAAAGACGATCGAAATGTCCTTCGTCACGGTCTTCGTCTCATGCCTAGGCCAAGTTCTCACCCGCAGAGCATTTATTCGAAAAGCCCATGGCATGTCACTTGCTGAGATGACGATGAGGAACTGGGTTATTCAGCCTGGATCTCTAATCACTCACTTCGAAACACTGCCTTCTTCGTCGTTGACGCTTCTGGGCATGTTGTCTCTTACTGCTACTATTGCAGCTGCCTTCTACACGACTGCTTCTGACGCGATGGTCTCGCCCAAGCTGAAGTCTGGGAGTTGGGAGCATAAGGAGCTTGTTGGATATGTGCGTGCGTCGTATGCTAATGCAGCTTACGTGCGTGAGGATTGCCCTTATCTTTTCAACATCACTGAAGATATCCACGCTGCCGAGTCATGCATGAATGTCCAGTTTTCGGGTCAATCTTACAGGAATTTACTTAACTATATGAACATGTGGACGAACCTCAATCAGAATGGAACCGAAATCTCATCCGATTTGAAGAAGCGACCTGGAGGAACGACACTACTCCACGATAACACTACGATGTACTCTTCGTGGATCGAGACTGAGCACGGCGACGTTGAAGCGCATTTTGAGGAAACAGGCCGTATTATCAATAATGTCACTCTGGCCCTTCCTCACCCCGGTGTTTATGGTGCTTCCAAACTCAAAGTGAACGGAATTCTTCAACCAGATGATCTTGCGGGAGTGGGAGAGTACACTGTCCGAGCAGGTGTTGTCTCACCATCTGTCAATGTTCTGTGCGTCGATATGGATAAGAAGGAACTTGCGCCACTTGTTTATACGACGTGGCCTAATGCCAAGGTCAACGATACTGATATCCCTGGTCAAAAGACTGGCTGGTCTGGTTGGACGGGTGAAGTCCCTCAGCCACTTGATGGCAAGAACAAGGACTATTACCTCAACCGGACTGATGTGGATGACATCTTCAGATGGGGACCAAAGTACGAACGTCGGCCTCCTGTCTTCCAGATGGTAAGTCATCCACCTATACCTCAGGATCATATCTAATTTGTGTAGTACCCCTTTGACTTCAACCTTCTCACCAATGCAACCGTCTATGCAGCCGACGCCATCTATACCCTCGGCAAATCCCCCGAGAGCAAAAACTACACGGTCTGCCAACTTAGATCATGGGTATCTCCCAACTGTTCCACCGAGTTTAATATCTCCGGTATCGCCGGTGCCAGCATGAAAGCTCACTGCGAAGACGACGCCGACGAGAACGCCTATCGACGATCGTTCCCTTTGGACCAAGGCTGGTCTGCTCCTTCTCTGGACTGGAAGGTAAGTTTCTCCTCTTTCATTGTATGGACAAGACTAACAATAATAGTGGCTTGCTGATCAATGGCGTTTGTCCATGGATCTTAATGGTGGCTCTGTTAACAACAATGCTTCCAACGCTCGTATCCTCACTCAACTTGCCCTGCATGAACCCAAGATGCCTGCTTCTTATCCCTCGCTCGCAGAAGCTCTCGCTGTGTATTCTAGCTCTCTCATCATGATCAGCGCCATTGATACGCCTTTCCGTCATTACTGGGATCAGGATCCAGAAGCATACCCCGAAAACCTCATCCCAGCCCCTGGCTTTCTCCAACCCTTCAACGCATCCCTCATCACACAGGAGTACACATCCGGACACACTCAATCATGGCAGAACATCTTTTACGTCGTTCTCGTTCTCGTCTTTGCCATCAATTTATTCTGTCTGGGCTACTTCATCATGCGCTCCGGGCTGGTGACAGACTTCACCGAACCACAGAATTTATTCTCCCTGGCAATCAACAGTCCGCCAAGTAATTCGTTCCACGGCAGTTGTGGTGGAGGTCCTGAGAAGAGACATCTTGTTGTCCCGTGGAAGGTTGCGTATGCGCCGAGTGCGAACCATTACTTCTTCCAGGACAACTCGCCTGGAAAGGAGAATGAGGGGTTGAGTACGGCGAGGGAGTATGGGGAACCGAGGGTCAGCAGTTACAAGAGACTCAGCATGAGTAGGACTTGGCTGTAGATTGATCTGCGGGTGTCGTTGTTGTATCAGCGAGCGTTCCAAAATGCATGGTTGGGGAGTTATCATATTCAGTAGGGGGTAATACACTACCGCCGCACATACGTACATACATATACAATTTGAACGCCATCTGGTCAAATCCTTATTCACAATTCCTTGGCTTTTTACACAGCGATTCCGTATCAGCTAGATGTTGAGTACACCAGCAGCCACTGTCCCAAGAGTTCGCCGGCCTGGCAACACAAGGACATCCTTAGCTCCTGCAACTGCTTATTCTCTGAGATCTAGCAGTGATCTTTTCAGTACAGGCTGCGTATTTGACATCGGCTAGGCTTTGGCACCAAGTCTGTTAAGAAATATCAGTGATTCACCTTCGATGCGATCCAGCATATCATATGCAGACAGCGCAAACCGAGCAAGGACTTCTTCTTTAATGATCTTCTACATCCACACATCACATATCCAATTGAAATCTCTCTTCTACTCTCTTCATTCTCAAGTTCCTTTCAACCCCAACGGCGTAGTTATCCAAGAGCGAAGGCAAAGGGCGCCAGGTTTAATCGCAGTCTGTTTGCTGCCCAATATCTATAACCAAGAAGTTGTATTCACTATCTTCCCTTTCAAAGGCTTGATACTAACTGAGATTGCTTTTTAGTCATCCATCTTCTCTGCTTGCATCCATCTGGTCAATGCCATGGAGTCTACTGGTGCTCCTTATACTCTTACTGCCGCTCAGTTTGCTGGGCAGGTCAACCTACCTAACCGTGATACTGCACAGCGTCAAGCCCAGGTAGAGCGAGTTCTTTTGTCCTTTGAACAAGCGAAGAAGCAAATGTCCGAGGAAGGCATCAGAGAGGTCTATGAGTACCTCAAGCCTGGAAAATGGATCCAGTCCGCTCGTTCGGCGACTGACCATACAGCATATAGGAGGTTTCTGGGCAAGGCCGGCCTCAGAAGTACACTCTACTACCCACAATTCTTTGTCATTCAGGCTATATATGTCGATTTTGGAGGGCATAATCCCGAAGCCATCTACTGGCTTTATCGAGACTTGTCCGAATACTGGGGCATGACTATTACTACAGATCGGCCTTTTTATCCGCGTCTTGAAGACTCAGAGAAGGAGCGTCGCCTGATTCGGGCATGCTATTATGGGCAGAACGATCAAGCCGGGAACCAAGTCATCGACACAATCCAAGGAAATATCGCTGCTCACAACAGCATTAACAACAACAATGACAACACAGACCCTGACTCTGACAAGCAAAAAGCCTTGGACGGTCATATCAGGGCTGTTTCAAAGCTCTCAGCAGAGCTTAAGAATGAGGCTGAAGAAAAGCAACGACGCGAAACGGACTTACGAGGACAACTGGAAACCTTGAACCAACAAAACCTCGACCTGCAACGACAGATTCAAGATGAATCCGATCTTCGACAGAAAGCTGAGAAAGAACTAAATGAGAATAAAGTCCAGTTACAGGATACACAGCATCAGCTTCAGGATACACAGCGTCAACTTCAGAACACACAAGGTCAGCTGCAGGTCACACAGGATCAGCTCAGAATTTCACGCAAAGATGCCAGTACAATGGAAAACAAAATGAGAGACATACAAAACTGCATCAACCAGCACAACCAGCACAACCAGCTTTCAATGGAGATACGAGAACTCGATAAACAGCGCAAGGACATAAGCGCTAAGAGGCAGCAGTGCATTAACAGCATGGCTGAACACAGTCGTCCCCGGGTCGAGGGGTTTAACTCGGCGAACAAGCGTCCCGTTGCTGGAATTGCAGATGGCGAAGAGTCCAAGCGGCCTCGTCAGGAATGAGTTATCGAAGGTCAAATTAAAGGCAGATGCACAGGGAAAAGGTTTCATTGGTGACAAGGATGATCAAAAGCAGGTATCAGACAGTGATACGTAGGACACAGGATGGCTATTAAGTCAAGTCCCGGGCGATGCGTCTTAGAGAAAAGCATGAGCATGCGAGTTTTGTTTATAATAGCTTTTGATAATCCAGAGATAATAGATTCCTTCTCCTAATTAGTATGATACCATTTCAGTACCCTTTGTCCCGGGTCTCAGGCGTCCCAGTCGGTCAAGAAATAGATAGCCAAGGGACTTCCATATAATGATTTATTAACTTGCCAGAAGATGGAAAGTCTTTTGAAGTTTGGTTCCGGGCGGCTTTTAATTCTTGCCTGTTGTAATACCAATTCTTTCCAAACGGTAGGCATTCGCTTCTGCTAGCCTTCAGCATATCACTGGCAAACAGTGTAGGCACTCGAGGCACTCGCCGACAACATCTTCTTTTAACACAAATCGCAAAGGCAACAACTTGACTCTCAATTCCTTCCCTCTTCTTTGAGTCCTTTTTACTACTTGGAAGGACTTCTCTTTCTGCGCCAAGTGATCGCAAGAGAGTAGTGCTGCATCTTGATGCTAAGTCCGACCCCAGCACAACCAGCTCCAGGCTAGAATCCATCAAAAGCCCTCCCAGTGCGATGAGCCCCTACTTGGCGGATATCAACATGAAGTTCCTCGAATACGAGCAACGTATTGCGGATCTTGAGCGCATGCTTCAGGAGAAAGATCAAGAATTTAAGGATAAAGACTTTCAGACAAAACTCGAGTACAAACGGCGATATGAGCTGGCTCTGGAAAGGCTGCTTGAGACTCAGCGAGAGTTTCGCGATGCGCAGCAACGATACCGTGAGTCGCAGATGCTGCTCACCAAGTACGAAGACAAGATCAAGCAGCTCCAGCGTCAACTCTTACAATCTCAAGAAATCACCAACCGCGCTCCCGCCACCGCTTCCCATACCCAAGGGCTTCTGAACCTTGGCCAGAAGCAATCCAACATAGCCTTGAGCCTCATAAGCGAACCTATCGGGGAGTTCAACGCTACCGCTGAGGGTTCTAGTCTCGCTGCCGACGATGGTCAACGAGTCAACAAAAGAGCTCGCGAAACCTGAACCACTGGAGAGGTGCGGAGAGAGTTCTGGATCAAGAGAACGACGCCTTTAGCTAAGGGAAGGGTAATTAGACGGACGGACTATCAGCAAAGCTGTTAGTAGAGACTCGGGAAGGCCACGTATGGGAGCTGAAGGCGAATGAGGCCAGACGAATTATGAATTCAGCCACAGAAGAGCTGCCCATGATAATGATGTATGGTTTATGTTCCAATTCCTAATAATCGAGAGCTAATGCCCATCCTCTCTGAGCGATCGTAGTCTCGTGTTGTTTGTGCCCAAATCTGTCGTGTCATTGGTCTGTTTACTTGAGCAACCGACTCAGTAGGATTTTATATGGAAGTGCATATTCACTTTGATACATATTAATGTTAATCTGGCAGGGGTTTTGAGGCGTCTTCTGTCAGGAATATTGAAAACTATCTGCCATTTACCACCATTTGCCATTCTCCATAGGTACGTAGGTAGAGACTGGCAATCAGTGTCAACTCTGCAGGCGCGCACACGTTGGACCTTCTCCTGTCTACCGCGTATGGCAGGCGCGAACCCAAACAGCCTTCTCCCTCTTTATTAGCCCATCCATTTTTCTTCTTCTTCTCAATAGGTCAGAAGGAAGACAAACCTCTAGGTCCCTAGGTATTGCCGCCCATTCACTCCTCATCTTTGCGCTTTCACTCGTAAGTTACACTCCTCTCCTTTCTCTGCAGCATCTGGCATTACTACAGTTTATTCCTCTTGCGAAAATCATCGCACTGCCATCAACATGGAGGACAATAACTCTTATCGGGCGGTCAATGCTGAATACAGCCTCACACGCCAAGATTTCTCTCACGAAATCTCAACGGGAAACTCACAGTGGCGCTCTTCTCAGGTAGACCGTGTCTTATCATCTTTCGAGGAAGCCAAGAAGGTCATGTCGGAACTAGCTATTCATGAGATCCATAAGTATCTCAAGTCAGGTAGATGGATCCACGATGCCCTCACTGTCAGTAGACACCCTGCATACAAAGCCATAAAAGGATATTCAGGTGGCAACAGTAGAGGGTTCTCTCTATTCTACTATCCTTATTTCTTTGTCCTACAGGCAACCTTTGAACCATCTGAGACTCTCGGAAACCTCTGCGAGGACATCGGTCGTCACTGGGGTCTTCGAGTTAACGCCTATGAACCTTTTTACCCGCGTCCACAAGACCCCGAGAGAGAGATAAACCTCATTTTTGGAAAAGATCCACTTCCTCGGAGACAAGTCGAGCGCTCTTCACAGAGTACCTACTCTCCTGCGGTCTTCACCCTGAACCGACATGGTAACTTCGACGTGGAAGATCCAAAGGACAGCATTCAAGAGGCTAACGACACCATTCGTACCTCCCAGTCAGTACCTGCCAGTGCCTCCGATACCCTGCGAAACTACGACGAAGAATTAGCCAGTTTCCGAAGCGAAGTTGAGCAACGCTTTGCCGAGTTCCAAACTCAAATCCAGCAAGACGCCGCTGGACCTTAGAAGGATTCAGAACGACGTCTCCGTGGAGCACAAGAAAAGACACAGGAAATCCGCGACCATGCAATCAAGGCAGAAGAGCAGGCGTTGGAGTCACAAGTGCATGCAGCCATGGCGCGAGAGAATGCGGCCAAGGCAGAACAGCGTTCAAGCAAGGCACAAGAGCACGCAAAGGCTGCTATCAGACTGGCAGATGCGCTTATTGAGAGCTTGAAAAATACCGCTGAGCGCTCTGCCATTCTTGTCTCAGATGAAGAAAGGTCCAACAAGCGAGTTCGTGAGAACTAAAGCTAGAAGACGAGGAGGACAGCGGCTGCTGGCTTGACAGGAGCGACAGCACAACTACTGACTGTCATGTTATTGTCGTCCCGGATTTGAATCAACCCCATCAGTGAGAACGTGAGAACGGAAATGCGGAAGTATGGTGGAAGCAGTCAAGTCGTGTTCAAGGTGCGAGGTTTTACTTGGTGTCATCAAAGCTGCTCAGGAGAGGAACAGAAGAGCCGATCAAGGGAAGCATAAAAGTGTATGAGACTGTTCGATATAGGTATCAATGAGCCAGAAGTCATGTCTACATGCTCCGAACGACCGTGATGCCGCGTTGTCTGTATGTACTGTCAGCCAATCCATGAAAAGTGACATCCTCTCCGTAAAGATATTTGAGCTGTAGACTCCAAACACCCCTCATAGCCGACCGAAGGATGGCAAGAAACCTCCAGATATCGACCCATCCGATGCGATCAAAAGATTTGGGTAAATTTTTGATGCATTCAGACCAGCTTTGGTACTTTGACTCTCAAAGCCATCGCATAACCATCCACCCAGCAACAGCCAAACCTACACTAAGCCACATACAAAACATCACGTTTCTCAAATATCGAACAAGACAAAGGGACGTTTTATTGCACCACCTGAGAGATAGTAACTATGATAGTATGTTGATCTTTGACAAATGACACCATGTCAACTCGTAAGATAATAATAAAAAAAGGAGTAGTAACCGCAGATAACCAAACCACCATAAAGGGAAAAAGGAAAAGGATGTGACGACGTCTGTCTTAACAGTAAAAGCAACAACAAAAGACGGCAACAATAAGCGTGGTATGTAATTTTTCGCCGTGAGCTTTAAGGATACACCGGATGAATAAACTTCGACACTTTACACAGATGGGATATCAGCCGCCCTCCCCCCTTTCGTCTCTCATCCTCCATCCTTAAATAAAATCTCCTGAAACTCTTCCAGGATTTTTTCCACCCATGTACCCCGGATCCGCAAGCAAAATGACGAAGTGTGGTAACAAAAACAAACAACAACAAAAAGACAAGAGAGGAAAGAGACCAAGTAGGACAATGTGAAGTTTCCAAGGAAAGAACCATGTCAGTTGTGTCGAACCTGTTTCAGTCAAACACCGCGGAAGCGTCGGTAACATAAACAAAAAACAAAAAGTGCTCTTTTCCCCTGAAGCCACCACATGAGGGAATTTCACCTCCAGGACCAGATCGCCGAATGACCATGATATAGTTTCCACTCAGAACGCCGTGACAAATGATGCCTGATTAAGTCTGACCCAAGATCGTGTGTGTAATGCCAGCCAACCCAAAGTTTCTCGCAAGTCATTAATCTGCTCCTATCTCATCTCCCATGGGGAATGCTTCCGTAAAATTGAAGGCTGAGTTATCACCATCTTGGTCGTGGAGGAACGAATCAAAGTCAAAGTCATTGAGCACGTCACCCGAGTTGAGGGGGTTGGCCAACTCCATGCCGCCGCCATCAAACTGTAAGCAGAGTTAGTATCTGGTTTCACCACCGAGGAGTTTGCACGTACCAATGGGCCAAAGCTGTTATCCATACCCATCATTTGATTGGGGTCGTGCTGAGGAGCTGGTGGCTGAGGAGGAGGAGCGGTTGTTGCAGCTGCGGGAGCATTAGCAGCTGGGCCAGTCGTTGGTTGACCATTCTGACCGGTGTTGCCAGCTTGCCCATTCTTATTGAAGTTGGCAGCATTGGCGTTTTGAATGGGTGTCGCAGGAGCTGGAGTCTCCTGTGACTCATTGTTCTCGTTTGAAGGAGTTGCACCAGCATTGTTGAGGTTCTGGTTCGCCTTCTTATTGGCAGCAGCGCGCTTGAACTTGTTAGTACATGCAGGGTATAGTTCACCAGTTAGACATACCTTATCCTTGGCGGTCTCGCCCTTCTTCTTCTTGGGCGCGGCCTTGTTAGTTTGGCTAGGAGTTGGCGGTGCAGCTGCTGCTTGTTGAGGGGATGCTGTCGTCCTGCTGTTGGCTCCATTTGCGCCAGCAGGTGGTGCTTGGGGAGGAGGCATCGATCGTTGCTGGGGAGTTCCCTGGATCTGAGGACTTTGCTGTTGCATCTGCTGAGGCACCATCTGTCCATTAGGTCCTTGCTGCCACTGCTGGGGATTTCCTTGAGGCCCTTGGCCTGGCTGGCCTTGCTGTTGTCGTGCGGCGGCCATCATCTGTTGCTGGTTCATCTGTCCATTGAAAGGTGCACCAGGGTGAGAGCTAGGGGGTCGCATGCCGCCGTTCATCGGAGGTTGACCTCCCATGTTGCCATCCATCTGCTGCTTGAAGAAGTGAGGTGCCATGTTGGGATCCATCTGGTTGCCCATGAAGTTCATGGCCGGGTTGGGAGAGCCACGGGATTGACCACCCTCGGGGACCGGTGAAGGAATGCCAGAGTTGTTCATCTGGGGTGTGCCGCGCTTCATCTGCTCAGCAGGGTTGGGTGAGGCACCTGGTCGCATGGCCTGGGGCGAAGTATCCGGGAACTGGCCGTTGGGTCCAGGAGGGCCACCTGGTTGTCCGGGCTGGCCTTCTCGGGGCATGCCATTGCCGCCGACGGTGTCTTGCTCTTGGCGGGCCATCATGAGTCGCTTCTTGTTCTGCTGCTCTAGAAGCATTAGCTGCATTTGATAGTCTTGGAGGGCATGGTTGCTTCCCCCTCCGTTTTGGGGACCTCCAGGTCCCGCCCGGATGCCGCCTGGGCCTCCCATCTCGCCTGGGTTGTAGAACGCATTGAGAGCAGTTCCATCGGGACCCTGGGCCATCATTGGGGATCCTTGGCCTTGAGGAACGGCATTGGGCATCTGCTTGCCTCCCATCTGAGTACCATGGTGTTGCTGCAGGTTCTGCGAATAGGTCGCGATCGACTTTTGCTGGGCGGCGGGCGGGGCGGCGGCAAAGTTCTGCAGCTGCTGCGGATGTAAAGAGTGAGGATTGATGCCATTGGCAAGTAACGTTTGTTGAGCGGCGGCAGTATTGGCTCCTCCGGGCATCTGCTGGCCTGGCATGCCTTGACCGGGGCGGCCATTAGGCATCATGCCGGGCTGGTTAGGGTTGAACGGTGCGCCATCGATGCGCTGTCGCTTGGAAGGCGAGGGAGCGTTCTCCCCAGACGCTGGTGAAGAGGGTCTGTTTTGGCCATCCATACCGGAGGGATCTCGCTGCATCTGGTTCTGCTTGGCCTGCTGTAGCATCATTTGAGGGCTGGATATCACTGTTAGGCGAGGGGCTTGCAGTACGATGAGAAATAAGATACTCACTTATTTTGATTGTTAGCCATGGCGGCGCGGGCAAGGTTACCCTGCTTCATATTCATCATGCCGCCGTTCTGCATGTTGCGCATCATCTGATATTGCTGCGCAGCCATGTCTGGTCTCATCCCTCGCAGAAGTTCCTGCTGTTGATTCTGCTTTAGCCGGGATTGCTGCTACATTGCCACCGAGGGTCAGCATTGGTCACCAGCCAAAGTGGTTACCAAATGTTAGGGGTATGGCAGTCAATCTGACACCATCATCCATTGAGTGGGTGAGATGCCGGATTGGAGTACCCTGGGTGGCAGCATGACAGAAAGAAAAAAGATGGCTTACCTGAGTATGTTGAACATATTGATTAATGGTATTGTTTCCGCTCTTGGCGCGCTGCGCGTAGTAAATGTCCCAAAAGACGGAGAACCACTCGTAGAGAAAAGAGGTGTCGGAGGCAGGCATGGGAAGCTTTGGCGGCGGCAAGTCTTCAGGGAGTTTGGAGTCGATGTCGTCCTTCGAATCGGTATCCATGGGGTCGTCGCCAACACCGTTGATGATATTTCCGTTCTCGTCGCGACGACGATTCGCGCCATCCTTACCGAGGACATTGACCTGTTGATCGCTGGAAAGGAGAGATCGGGCGCAATCGTACATTCCCATGCGGATAAAGTATTCGTAGATGTAGGTGTTGAGAATGCTGCGCTGGTTCTCGTTTGCCTGTTGGCGAGACGCGGCGGCAGCAGCCGCAGCGGCCTGGGGGTTGACGACGCCGTTGTTCATCATGGGCATGGGGGCGCCTCCAACAGGACCACCCATGGGGTTCATGTTGGCCATGTTGACGTTTGGATTCATGGCCATGACAGTTCAGAAGTAACCGGAGAGAAGACAGAGAGAGGCCTATAGGCTCTGCTGCAGCGACGACAGCAGTCGGGGGCTCGTGTAGCCACGGGGGCGTGCCACCAGGTGGAGCAGCGCTGGATAGCGTCCCAACGTGGACGTGACGGGCAGTGAAGCCAAATGTCGCGAGCGAGGGGATCACCAGCGAAGGAGGCGTGGACGCGGTCCAAGTTGCCAGGCGCGCAGTCGGGCGGGGGGCGAGGATCGCGAGAACCACGAGACCAGGAGACCAGAATGGGAGGCGAGCCCGAGTAGAGGGAATTGGAGGATCGTGTCAGGCGTCGGCAATCGGCGGAAAGGAATATCGCAGGAAATCAATAGTGATTAAAGCGTAGCGTGCACTGCAGTGCGATAGTACGCGATGCGATAGTCGACCGATAGTCGATGTCGCGGTGATGAGTTGGAGATAAGAAGTCTGGAGGATGAATATGGTGTGGTTGGTTTGGTGTAGGTTGGATTTGGCGGAGTGTCGAGGTAACTGGGAGTGGAAAGTGGGCGCTGGGCTTGTCCTTTCCTGAGGTGATGGACGCTGCCTCAGTTGCTAAGTGTAAAAAAACGAGTGCCTGGGGTTGGGCATTCGCCAGGGGTGGGAGGGTACTTGTGGTTCTGCGGGCAGCTCGGGCAAAGACCAAGTACCTTGGAGAATTCAACGGAACGCCTCCAAGGACAAGCGGGTACCTCCAAATTATATGCTGAGTGCCCTTCTATCCAAGTACCGACAGCAAACGGAAACGATCCAAACGCCAGACGGACGGGAACAGTGGAGGACGGGGAGAGACCCAGTATAAGGTAGATGCAGTAGGTTGATCAACGTATGTCAAACTCTGGCTGCAATTATCAAACGCGACGGATACCCGCCGTTTGGAGCTCTTCAAAGCAGATGGCACAACGGCCGAGGAGGAATGAGGTGCTTTGTTTGATGGAGGAGGAAAAGGTGTGAGGGCGAGTAAAAGGGAGCAAGACAGAGGTTGTGGGTGAAAAACGTGGTCGGTCCTTGATTTGGGCGGTGGGAATCCCTCCAGTCAGTGAGTGAAGGAAAAGGAGGAGGACGGTCAAACTTTTCTTCTTCCTTCTTCCCTGTGAATCGCTCCCTGAAACTTTGCCAATTGATAGAGTCTATGAACAAAGGCCAATTAATCATGTGAAACGTTTATTTATTTTTACCAGAAGTTTCCCAACTACAGCATTGTGATGTAGCCCTCTCCGCACATCAGAATTGGTACCAGCAAGTCAGTGATGCGCCTCCGATGGTTAGATGCATGCAATTTACAAGCACAGCAGACCTTGCTCCAAAACGGTAAAACACAAATTACAAGGCTGGCCGTCTGTCAAAAGCTTAGGTTTCCCTGGGTCCTGGAGACAGATCCACCAAATTGGGATGCCTTGACTCCTTGCAGCTAAAAGAAATCGGGACGGTCGATCATAAGAACGAAGGGACGCATATAAGCGAATCCAACGTAAACATTGAAGTCAATTGCGAGACGTTGAAACCCCCTCGAGATTCTGTCAGAATTGACTATTTTAGTCCCTCATTGTTCTCCGTGATCCTCTTCAAAGACATTCGACTTGGCCACAAACTGCCGAGACCGGTTTGATGCACATGGAACATGTACAGAAGGGAGGCTGGCTTCTAACCGGGGTTAAGCACAGGGCTGCCAACGTGCCCTGTGAGGCTCAGTAGGCTCAGCGCGTCTCAGCGACGCTCAGCGGCCTAGACCGCAGCTGTAGTGGATGCTCTTCAGGGGCTCTCAACCAAGGTTCGCACGTTAGCGGACCCGAATGATCATAGGTCGCGTCACCCCACACAATGGACCCTTGATCTCAGGGACGCGCCCTGGGGCTAGACGGCCATCCTCGCCATTGGCGCGCTGAGTTTGTCGCGTTACATTCTGGTACGTAAATTTCAGACCAAGGTGCGTAATTTTTGGACTGCTGCTCAAAATGTCGCCAGTCTTGAGACCTCAGGCATGATATCGGAGACATAACGGTAGCCCCTTTGCCTCAGGCACATGTGTTACCGTCATTATGGTCTGAGCCTGTACTCCAGGGAACAAGAAAACTTCTGACGTTTAGCCAGGATGCCAAAATTAATTGGGCGGAAGCCTGCTGAGAATGGCCTGAACTTACCTGAAACTTTTTATTACCCATCTACAGGGCCCTGAGTTTTCTTGCCTCCCTTAGGTACCTCCACTAACAAATCCCGTTTGACTGTCAATTGATCGTCCGTCGTTTCGCGGGGATTTGACGTTATCAATCTACTAAAATGTGCCCCTTGTGGGATGGAGCTTCAACTGTTCAATGTCCGGCGGGGTTGAGATATCTACCGACAATCTACATCGCGTTTGTGGATAGTTGACATTGAGTTTGTGCCATTTGCTGATTAACTCATGATGTAGGTTTGTGGAAGCCGAGAGAAATTAAAAACCAATATCCATGATGCCTCTATAGTAAATGAGACGAGGGCCTGTTTGTCTCGGTGCTCTCGCTTTCATTTATTACTGCAGTTGCTCGTAATAAAACAAACTTCAGCTCGCAATATACCAGCTCTCATTGCCCAGTAAAACGAATGCAAAATGTTTCATCTTAATATTCTAGCTCTATCACTATGGCGTGAGCTCAATCAACCAGCATTTCCAGCCTAGCACGTGGCTGACAGCTGTCTTCCATGGGTATCTACACGTGCCATGATCCCAAGCCAACTCTCGCAAGATTGCTAAAACGAAGTTTGTTCCATAAGTAAGTTTGCTTCCATGCCAATCGTCCTGATCGGCACAATCTCGCCGTCTATGCCGTCAACGATCATTTGGGGGCATCTCCCCCTGAACATCTAGAATTTCTCGTAGCCACCCATCCATCCATCTGTGTCCTGCAATTGCTAAATCGTCATCACATAATCACATTCATAGCTCCCCCTTTTGTATCTCTTAGTCATCCTCAGGGGGCAGTTCGTCGTCGATGTATCGGATTAGCGATACCCTCATCTCTGTGCTGTCATTGCCCCGCAACACGTCACTGACGAAGTGAGCTTCAACTTGCATTTGCACCATTTCCAGAGCTCCTCGTAGCACTCCACACAGAATGTTGGAGTACCAAAGTTGATCTTGCGCTCGGCCATCGTCGGGGAGCTCGACGAAGTCGGCCAAGGGATTCTCTTCAAATACCAGCGAGAACTGGTCATTTTCGCTTGTCCAATTCATCACTTGGGGAGTAATGTTGAGGAATATCTTGAATCCAACCTGGTTCTCTCGTTAGTCATTGTCTGACGCTGCGCATTAAGCCCCCCTACCCTGGAGATCATTTCTGCCGTCTCGCGGAAGTTGGCGCATCGCTTCATGGTGTTGGATTTGGCGAGGTAGTCTTCAATAAGTCGCAGACCAATGTTGTAACCCATCTTGTCGAGTTGCTTGTTCACCTCGGCATAGTCGCTCTCGTAGTCCTTGCATAGCTGTGCGACGATAGTTCCGTAGGTCAAAGTGACGAGCTCAGCGTTGACCTTGTCGATTCGAGTTCTGTTGCTCAGTTAGAGAGACGTGCCGTTGCGATCTCAAGCGGTAATCGCTTACTTCCAAATTCTAGACCCGGGTTAGTCTTTAACAATAATTTGGGGACTGAATAGTTGTCATGATGAACTTACTCCTCGCCCACGCGGGACGCTTTGTTGGCCGCCATTATTGCGGCTGTAAGGGAAGGGTTGTGGTGGAGTTCGAACAGCGACCGAGCTTTACACTCAAGAGGACGTTGGCGAGGAGTGAAAAGATCGTAGAAATGGAAGAGACTCCAATATCATACGCAAACAGAGCTATGTCGATGTAGCTTGAACCAGGGAGGTGAAGCAGTAGCGCCAACACCGCTCTGGAATGTCGGTGCACGGAGGGTTGAAACACCGACCTCAGGAACAATCTTCGGCCCGGCCACCAATCAATAGCAGGAGCTCGATTTACTTTGCATGAAGCCCACCACCGCCGTCGTCGAAAAGTGAAGCAACAGGAAGCTCTAAGCTCACTTGACAACCCTTGAACTCGACAAAAGCTGGCGCATTTACATAATCAGCGTCGCATACGATCGTTATCTTCCTTGATACCCTTTCAACTTCGCCATGTCCTCCGAAAAACGTCCTGCCGATGGGGATCCCAGCTCTTCTCAGTCACTCGTGAAGCGACAAAATGTCAACTCTTCTACGGGCGCTCTTGCGCGTCTGAACGCGTCAAGCAATGCGCTTGTGCAATCTGTACGATGGAAACTGTCTCATTTCTTAGGTCGCTATACTGACTGATGCAGGCACCAAGAACAAGCGGGCTTCAAGCTCCTGTCATGCAACTCTCAGGACACTCGGGCGAGATTTTTGCAGCAAAGTTCGATCCTACAGGCAACCTGATTGCTTCTGGTGGAATGGATAGATCTCTAAGTGAGCCAAGAACAATGCTTCCTGGGCGACAACGAACTGACTTTGGTAGTGCTTTGGAGAACGTATGGCGACTGCGAAAACTACGGAATATTAAATGGTCACCGTGGTGCCATTCTGGACTTACAATGGTCGCGCGACTCGGAAATTCTATACAGTGCCTCGGCCGATATGCACCTTGCGAGCTGGGATTTGACATCGGGCACACGAATCCGTAGATATGTTGGACATGAGGAGGTTATCAACACTGTGGGCATCAGCAGACGAGGAGAGGACATACTTGTCAGTGGTAGCGACGACTCGACAATTGGAATTTGGGACCCCCGATCGAAGAACGCCGTCGACTATATCGATACCATGCTCCCTGTCACCGCTATTGCTGTATCCGAGGCTGGTAACGAGATATACGCAGGCGGCATCGACAACGATATTCGAGTATGGGACTTGCGCAAAAAGTCGGTGATATACTCGATGCTCGGCCATTCAGACACTATCACCTCATTGAGAGTTTCGCCAGATTCTCAGTCACTTGTCTCGTACGCCATGGACTCTACAGTTCGAACATGGGATATCCGACCTTTTGCACCAACAGAACGACAGATTCGAACCTTCGACGGTGCGACGGCGGGCACGGAGAAGAACCTTCTCGGAGCAAGCTGGGACTCAGAAGGCAAGAGAATTGCAGCAGCATCAGGAGATGGAACAGTCATGGTCTGGTCAAGCGAGACAGGCAAGCTCGCTTACAAGCTGCCCGGTCACAAGGGCACAGTCAACTGCGCAGAGTTCTCGCCAAACAAGGAGCCTATTCGTAAGTGTTCTGCTGACCCTTTGCGAGGTGGTGAACTAACAAGTTACAGTACTTTCTGCATCGTCAGACCGCACAATGCTGCTTGGCGAGTTGAAATGAGGAGGATAAGCAATAACTCGATATTTAAATCTACTACCTGTACTCTCCCTGACATATTGAATCACGAGATGCGCGCTCCCGTGTCAGGGCTCAGTATTCTGGTAACCTTTACGCCATTGAGGCTTACCATTGAGGGCGTACCAAGGGAAGGGCATCCCCCTCACCCTCACCGTGGCCGAATAGTGTAGCCGTTAGGATGACGCAGGGAGCTTTGTGTAACTAAGTCTCTCCAATATTGCCAGGGAGCATGAATATTCAATCTGGGGAAGCTCTGGAGACGGCTAGAAAAGCGGATTACAGCATGCACAAAGTTCTTGAGATAACATTGGGAAGGGTGAAGGAGGCGTTTATGGCTTGTATCAAAAGATGAGACATGAGCTAGGGGGCACGCATAGATGTTTATACTATATGTGCAAATAGTCGATTAATAGTAAGCCCTTGAAGAAACAAGCCACATCAAACACGATCAAAACTCGAGGGAGATGTTATCTTCCAATGAAGTCAGTTGTATGTAACCCTTCCTCAGACACTATCCAATGATTGTGAGGTTGCAGCTGCATATAGCCAGAATACTTGGGTTTCAGGTTCATACCCCTGGTTGGCTGTGAGGCGCTCCAAGCAAAATGCGGCGTACTTCAACCCGAGACGTTTAAATGCAACAAGGAAAAAAGGCTCTGGAGACTTATAAGTTCATGTCATAATAGTTGCGGTTTAAGCATAACATAAAGTAGTTGTGAAAATATGTGATAGCATCATCTTGAGCTGAAGGTCGACGGTCGACCTCGAGAGATAAGCCGCATCTCGACTAGCTCTGAAGCTGGTTACCCCTGGATAGAGCTCGGACTGGGTAGTAATTTGTAGATCTCCACCTCCCACGTTTTTCCAACACGCACGGGACGTCCAATCCATTTTGCTAGAGCAACTTATCAACTGTAGCAGGTTAATTTCGTGGAAGCCAACCAAAATCCATCACCGCAAACAGCCGTAAATTGTACAGCACAGTAATCACATCCTCAATCCCTGTTGTTTATGTACATCCTTCACCAGCTGAACCTGGGCTCCTCCTTGGAGAGGGGGGATATCCCTGACGCGGTTTGTCCCTTTCGGAGGACCCGTAGGCTAAGGTTTATGAACATGGGTCCTTGAACCTTTCAGTTCAATCAAGGGGTCGAAAAAGGGAACCTCGTGTGAAAACGACAAGACAAACGACGGGCCATCTGCCCACTAACATAATTAGATCATGACTGAAGCCGGGGCCATTTTTTGCTTTATCGAGGCCTGACCCTCTTTTATTGTCTCTCGCTGCCGTCTTCGTTCGGTCCCTTTTGGCGTTTGTTGTCTCAGAAAAAGTCAAGACAGGTTCTTGAGCCCTTTTTGTTATTTACTTGTTGTATATCTTGTTCCTTCTCTACTAATAATGACCGAGATGGTACAAGTTTTCATGTTGAGCGTGTAGTTTTATCGTATGTTCTTTTTATGTTCTCCCGTGGACTCTGTTGAAAATTCACGATAGCGCCGCCTTAGTCGCTTTTACCTGAGTCGTAACGGATCTATATACTGCCTCGGGTGCCCCCGTCGAAATATGGACTTGAACCGTTCTGACATGGAGAGGCTTCGTGCTGATCTCATACAACGATCAAGGATGGAGCGAGGTGGTAGTCCGAATGGAGGCGACGTCAACCTCGACGTCAATGTTGATGTCGAAGCTCAGCACAGCATACAAGAACCTCGTTCGAGTCCCCCGCCCCTGTCACGGTTGCTGAGTCGGAGAGAACCTGCTTCAATGACGGGACAAGCTCATCTCGCCGAGATCGAGAGCGTCAAGTCTCAAGACTCGAATACGAATCGCCCTGGGGGCTCTCGAAGATTTGCTGTACCAGGGTTCCTGCGAATATGGGGACGTAACAACACCACACCACAATCCGACGATATTCGCATTGCCACAGCTTCTCCCGCGCCGCTTCTACCCATCGCTGAACCTCAGTCGCCGACGAGACCGGATCCTGTGGCTGCACCTTCAGAATCGCATCGATCGCGACATCAACGACGACAACGAAGCCCTCCTCAAGACCCATTGGAAGCACATCTCTCTGAAATCCTGGGTGGATCAACTATTAGAAGGCATCGAAGACGGAGGGAATACCATGAAAGAGAGCGCGATCGCCACAGGTCGCGAAGAAGTCATCAGCGACACCCCAAGTTCTTCCTGGGCTGTATACCATGGGTCCGATCGAGGCGCATGAGAGCACAGATCCTGAGGTGTTTGACTTCAGGTCTGTTTCTTATAATTCTCGTCACAGTCTGTAAGTCACGACCCAATTGTGCCACCTTTGTAATGATGATACTGATCAGGAATAGATCTCGCCCTTTCCATGACACACAAGGTCAACACGCGCGAAATGAACATCATGCTCATTCTTGTCGTCTTGTTCGCCGCCGCCTTCTTCTTCCACGGTCTTATTAGACTGTGTCTCCTAATAATAAAAAGTAATCGCGAAGCCGCTGAGCGGGCAAATCGACCTCCTCGGTATCGCGCGCCTCGATATGCCGTACCTCCTGTTCCCATTCCTGTTGTTCTTGCGCAGGATGAGGAAGCGGTCGGTATGGAGAGTGAAGCGACGAAGACACTACCACCAGCCTATGGGCGATGGCGCGAGACAGTGGTATGTATCTAGCCTGTAACTTTTGGCGGGATGACGCTAATAATTTGCAGCGAGTTGATCCCGATCGTTTGTTCTGGCAGCGCAATGAGGCCGTGGACCTTTCTCAAATAAGACCTAATACTCGAGCTGGTCCCAGGCCACCATCGTATGTGTCTGAAGATGGTATATCATATGTAGTCGAGGCGCAACCTCGATCAACAGCACCTACAACTGAAGTGCCTCTACCAACACATCCATCGGAGCTTGGTAGAGTGGCTAGGGTACCAACAGAGTAGGAATCATCAAGGGACAATTTTCACAGGGCATAATAGCGAGCAATATGCATGGTTTATATGAAAGCGAAGACACATTTGAAGACCCAGAGCTTCTCAGAGGCATTGTCAAATCAGCGTACACGAGTATCTGCAGCATTGATATCACATATTAGCGAAGTTTTGCATGGTATTGCTTTTGAAAGGAATTGAGGTTCAGGTTATGAGATACCAGATACCAGATAGGAAAGGCAATACTATAGGCTTGCTCTCAGGTGAAGTTGCTCGTGCCTGTCTATCGGTAATTAGAGACCCAGTCGCAGTGATACTCAGCAGGTGGTGGTTGCTCAATCTCGCGATCAGGTTATCCCTCTCGTTTGAGCACTGAGCAGGGCGTAATTATCTCGCGGCGAGTCTCGGAAGAGGCGTGGGGTTGCCATGGCCGGGGTTTGACATCACGCGGTTATATCCCATCCCCTGCCAACTGCAGCTGGGCCAGGAAATCAAACTCTCCAAAAGAAGGGTTCAACCAAATTCCAGCTCGGAACAAAGACCGTATTAGAGAGGGCATTCTGTTGGAGCCATCTGCATTTTGCGTTTGCATGATAGGCCAGTTGGAGAATAAGGTTGGTTGTCTGTATCACGTGAACACCTTAAGGTGAATCAGTGCTTCATCAATTCGCTTGGCAGGCACAGCAAGGCCAGATGGGAAAGCATCGCTTCCTCCCTAGTGAACTCCCATTCTTTCCTAAAGCAGAGAGGTTCGAGGTGAGATGTGAAGGGCAAGGATAAGTCCTGATTGGAGCGTAGACTCGACCCCCAGTCAGTGGCTTCTCTGCCCTTTGTCCTTTTAGTTCAGCGCGTTTAGAGCGTGTGTGATGGTAAGCGAGGGTGAAGGGAGATTCTGCATTTGACTGAGTGAGTTTATGAGAATGAATTGATCTTGGACAGTGACTGATTTATGCTTGAGCTACTTTATCTGATGCGTATAATCACAAGTCACGCTCTACACTTATTCAGAGCTCACTCAGGCTTGAGGTTCAGCGACTGTTGCACAGCTATATCCATTCCACCGAGGCAATTCAATATGTACCAACTCCATTTCCCCTCCCCCTCCCTCCCTCTTAAGTTAGTCCGAAAATCCCCCAGTCGCGCCGATGAGTGAGCCAGCCTGAGCAAGCCTGAGTCGAGGTCGCCCCCTCCCCACATCCCAAACATCCACAATCATCATAATGGATCCCGTTTCCGTTCTGATTCGACTCGTTTGTGGGTGGTAACTCGACTTAGGCCTCGTTAGTGTCAGTCTCGGGGGTCGGGGGGTTGTCCAGTCGTATGGTGAAGAAATGGCAGGCAGTGTGTGTCATTCGCTCCTGGCGCTGTGTGTGTGCCCGCGGTTGGGTGCTCCCCTCATTTTGAAAATTTTTTAATTCGAAAAATTATTCCCATTTTCCCATTCCATTTAGGACAAAACAAAGAACCATACATAACGAATACTGTTTCTCTTTGGTGTTGAAGTGCCCTTTTTCGGTGTCTCGATACCTCTCTACCTATTCATTATTTTTGTTCAACAAAATCCACTTATTGGATCATCGTTGTTTTTTACTTTTCCCTTTTCTTACTATACCTACCCATCAAGCTCCCTCCGAGTCCATAAAGGTATGTTGATGCTAGAGCGTGTGTTGCTGCGTTGCGGTTTTTGGTTTTGTGCTGCTGCTGTGTTTTGCTGCCCCTCCTTTGCGCGACAACAACGCCCATATTCGACATGCCTCGCCTATCGCAAATACCGAAATACTTTTGGCCCCCGTTCTCGAATTTATCGAACACATAATCAATATCGAATTTTTGCTGCGATTCAAACCTCGTTTTTTGCTCTCAAATCCGTCGATGCAAGAAATCCCTCGTTTGAAGCTTCGGCCTCACGACAACCCACTTCCAAAAGCCTTCCGTATTTGGCCTCCGTGTACGACCCGATATTCCGGCGCAAGCTCCGGTCTTCAACGGTCCGCATCCGAACTATATCACCTTTTATCTCCCGGTTCTCTCGAGAGCTCTGATCTTGGTGTTGCCCCTCGGCATACTCGAAGTGCGGGGTTGATGATCTGCGATTGTCAGAGCTTATCATATGACTACCAATTGGACAATCACATTGTTCCGACCTTCAGTATTGGAACCGAGTTCAACAAGAGCTGCGGTAGCCTCAACGACATTTGCGACACTACGAAGCTTATGACGACTTGGAATAGCCCCATGTCGCCGTCGACCTTGGGTCCTCGACGCCTTCAAGGGCATATTCGACCTCAACCAATGGACGTATCATCTATCATCCCATGTTGAACAAAGACACGATGGAACATGCCGCTTTGATTTACCCTGGAGTTGCGACAAAATATCCATACTGGCGACTAGGCGACAGCAGATACACAGCAGTAGCAACACCACCACAATGCACAACTAAAAACTGCATTAAATACTGTAACTAACTTTGTTGATTCAGACCTATCTTCAAAATGTCTTCTCTCTCTCGACGTGCTTGCTACAAGTGTGGCAATGTTGGCCACTACGCTGAGGTCTGCTCTTCTGCTGAGCGTCTCTGCTACAACTGCAAGCAGCCTGGTACGTGCCAATGATATGTTGAGACAGACTTGATCTAATTTCCAAAAGGCCACGAGTCCAACGGATGCCCTCTTCCCCGAACCACTGAGGCCAAGCAGTGCTACCACTGCCAGGGTCTTGGTCACGTCCAGGCTGACTGCCCTACCCTCCGCCTGAGCGGTACTGGCACCAGCGGCCGCTGCTACAACTGTGGCCAGCCCGGTCACCTTGCTGTATGCAATGGCATTGCCCTGAATTATGAACATAGCTGACTGTAATAGCGCGCCTGCCCCAACCCTGTTGGTCCTACTATGGGCCGTGGTGCTCCCATGGGCCGTGGTGGCTTCCCTGGTGGTTACGGCCGTGGTGGTTTCGCCGGTGGTCCTCGCCCTGCCACTTGCTACAAGTGTGGTGGTCCCAACCACTTTGCTCGTGATTGCCAGGCTCAGGCCATGAAGTGCTATGCCTGCGGCAAGCTCGGTCACATCTCTCGGGATTGCACTGCTCCTAACGGCGGTCCTCTCAACACTGCTGGCAAGACTTGCTATCAGTGCGGTGAGGCTGGACACATCTCCCGTGACTGCCCTCAGAAGAACGCTCCCGGTGTTGGCGAGATTCCTCAGGAGGTTGATATCAGCAGCGTTCCTGCTCCTCCCGTTGCTTCTATCGCTCCCGTGGCTTAAACAAATCCTGGAGTTAGCTGTTGGTGTATGCCCCTGGTGGCGTATGTCCCAACAGCGGTCCAGGGCGTCGGTCTGGGATGGCCGACACTTTTGCTTTTCAACAGTTGTTCTTTTTGATGCCGACACGTGAACATATCACTACATCCTTACTCTCAAATTATTTCTTTGTTTTGGTTCTTGTTCTTTGATCCGAAGCATGCATTTGCCAGCACCACTTAACTGGCCTCGACTTGCATGGCATTTTCGGTCCGTCCGAATTCATCTTTGAACCTCTTTTTCATCTTTCACTTGAGCGATGCCACATTGTTCCAGCGGTGGCACACAGTCGATGCAGCATCGTTGCTATCACGACCCGCGAGGAAATGTCGGTACTTGACAAGGAAAGATTTCTAGCAACGAATTTCCTTTTTCCAACATTCACCTAGACTTGTTTGCATGGATCCTTGGTTACTAGGGGGTCCCTGAACGGCTTGTCCGTTATCTGGCACCTTTCCTCAGATACAACCTTGGATCATTCACCCAAGGACTACTACTACGATTTGAACGACAGACGCTGTCACGTAGCTCTTAACGACTTTCGAAAATTACGGCACCCTGCGAAGGATATACCCCGCGAGGCGATGTGTTGGTTGTTGAGCTTGGAAAAGAAAAGCGCAGAGACTCAGGCTTTGATCAGTGAAGATGTCCCCGCTAGGATGCGGGTGAGATTAAGCCTCGGGAGAGCTTGTGTTGTCGCCTGGCGGCAGAAAAGACCAGTGGATGCGTGCGTGAGAGTGGTGGGCTGAAGGCCAGATGATCAATGATCATAGGGGATAGGATGCTGTTTCTTGTGGGTAACGGGTTCCTGATTGCGCTGATGCATGAAGGATTCGTTCGATGCGGAAGATGGCATTCTACAGAACGGCAAACAAACAGACAAGCAGCACAGTTTGTGAGGACAGAAGCCTTTGGAGTACTGAGGCTTCCTTACTAATGGCTGTTTGCTTGTGCTCATTGTTTTGGCGTGGCTGATGGATGAGGAGTGGAGGCTGCAGTGGTGGTTAGTGACAGACGCGCAAGATGCGGCGAGAAGAGTTGTAAATGATTTGATACGCACCCATAACCCCCAATGAAGCGAAGTGGCATCAACGAAGCAGAATGTGTGCGGCGAGATGTGTTGATGACTGAAGATTGTATTGTATGAGTATGAGCATGAGTACTACGACTGGCGTTATGTTTATCACGGCAATGCCCTTGTATTGGTACATGGGACAAGAGCATAATGTCTCGGCGTTCGGGATCATCTTTTGGACGGTTGGTACACAATATGTATAACTCGGTAACTAATCCTGTCAGAGTCAGGACTCGACAGGTTGTTTTTGTTAGGTATGGTATGGTATAAGGTATATTGATCTGGCAACGATCAGAGGCATACGCAAGGACAAACTTATCGAAGGCATGGAACGGCAACACTGGTAGGGCTAAGAAGAAGGGAAATTGTCCTTCTAATTAACATTGCTAAAGATTATGAGCATGTATCAACATAATAGGAAAAAAGCGATTGCAGTTCACTGTAGTATTGTTCATCTATTCCCAACGCTTGCAATGAGTTGATCATATGCATTTACCATAAATTATCCAATTACTCCCTTGCCCAATCCATCTAATTTACCCATCAATCATCATTTTCATTGGTATGAGGTCCTCTAATACTGACAAATACCACCAATCTCATCGTCCATGGTCCACGACCCAGCAAGACCTTTAATCTCTACATCCTCCGTCAGACTAACATCATCCTGCAATGTCTTCCCCAAAAAGAAATCGTTCCTCCCCTCCGTCTGCATCTTCCTCTTCATAAACCGCCTCGTCCACTCCTCAACCGCCGGCTCGCCTGTCTCATCCCTCGCCTGCTTCAAGAACGGAATAAGCGCCGTGCCGCCCGTTCCCTTCTGGTTCTCCTTGTTCTTGCGCGATGCGACTGCGAGGTTGAGCTTGTTGCGGGTCACTTCGGGACTGCGGGAGCGGCTGCGCGCGCGGACTTGCTTGGAGGGGTTGATGATGTAGCGTGTCACGATCGCGATGTGCTTGTCGCGGAAGGCGCTTAGCATGGCGAGACAGGCGTCGTAGGCGAGGCAGAGTTGTTTGTCTGAGTGGTGGGATTCGACGTATTCGCGGATGTTGGCGACGTTGGATACGTCGTTGAGGAAGCGGGCGTGAGGACCGGGCATGTAGCGTCTCATCTCCATGATGAAGTTGTGTCGGTTCGCAGCACGGCCTCGATCGCTGTCTGAAGAGGGATCGCGAGACTCGCCTGTCGGACGGTGCTCAATTCCGAGGATGATATCGAAGAATTGGATTAGACTGCTCTGAGCGTTGCTGCCACCGCTGTATTGTCGATATTCCTCAGTGCCAGAACCGTCTTCGTAGATGACACCATTGGGGAGGCCAGCCTCCGCCATGTTCTTGCTCCCAGCAAGGAAGGGTCTAATTCGGTGATAAAAGATGGTAGGATCGCAACTCTCGTGCATCCGCTGAAGAATATTCGTCAAGTCTGTGAGACGCTCTGCGAAAGTGCGCAGACAGCGCGTAACAGCAGTACTGTCTCCATGACGAGCAGCAGCAATAGCCGTCAACATTAAAGGAATAATTGGCGCGCCACGAGCCTCGATAGCAACTGAAACAAGGTAGAACCATGATTCATCAAGAGCTCCAGTATATGTGTTTAGAGTGGCGAGATTCTCAAGGTTATCGATATCCTCGTCAACAAAGAGGGGTTTAAAGTTCCAGAGACAAACAGCCGCATACGTTGCAACAGGCGGCACTTCCAGATGCTCAGAGATCTCCAGTAGCGGAACGGAGATAGATGCAGGAAGTCTATCTGACGGTGAATCACCACCCCAGATATATCCATGGGCCATGAAGCCTAGTAGTGAATAGGCACGTCGCCACTCAGCGTCATGCTCAAGACCGATTGTCGACAGAACTGGCAATCTGTCGATGACACCACGCAGTCTGCGGCTGAGAATAAGAGCCTGGAGGTTTGCGGCGATGGCTTCCCATTTGTTGTAGTATGGATCCGGGAGACGGGTTAAAGGAAGAGTATCCGGGAGGAAGCCGTGAGTTGGCGAGATGCCGTACTCGGCTAGGACTGGGATAGAGGGAAGCATTTTATGTGAATATTCCCTCTAAAAGTTGTTGAAGGTTGTAAAGAGGAGAAGCCACAGGCTGAAACAGAGAATCAGCAGATGCGAAAGAGCCGTGTTCCGGGAACCGGAGACGGAATAGTGGGGCCGCTCCGGAAGGATCAGATCAGAGAAGAAATAACAACGATGCTTTTAAAACTCTGGGGTAGTTGAAGCCAAGGCCGGTAGTTGTGAAATAATGGATATGATGGAGAAACAAAGAAAGAGCCAGCTTAAAAAAATTAGTTCTGGGGATAGACTACAAGGCCTAATAAATGACTCTTCCTATGTTTTCTCGTGCTAGTTTCTGCGGCGAAACGGTCGAGCAGAGAGCATGATTGGCCGATTCGGATGAGTGGACAGTTGCGAGAACCACTGTAAAGAGGGAGGGTTCTAGAACGCCACATGGATGCAGCAAAAAGGTTTAATTAGCGCGCATAATGTGTTTTTCCCTGGTTGTGAACTTGTATGCCAAAGAGGTTGCGGAGAGAACGGGTTGTCTGCGGACGTGAAGCCGGATCTTGCTCCGTCTTCGGCCGATATGATGGTGCTTAGATTTGTAATTTACATTTACATGTGATGTTTTGTGGCTTGGGATTTGAAGTTTTGATAACGTTGATGGGAGGACATTATTAATTGATGTTATTGCGAAGGGTGTTGTTGAGTTAGAGTTGAGTCTCTGAATGGTTGGTTTTCGTTACCCTACAGCTAGAGGGAAATGTCTCGGTTTTATTTCCGGCGCGCAGATCACATTACTAAATAGTATTCGATAACTAGAGTATTTGGCTGTTGGTGGTTAAGTCACCAACGGCCAAGTGGTCATCTTTTCAGATATGTTTCAGTCATGTTGGTGGGAAGTGACAGGCAAATGGCTTCAACCACCCGAAACTTAATCGTTGTGAGACAGAGGTTATCCAGATTATGCACGGCTCCGTTGACGCAGCCTCCTCAGCCTTGCTTAAGGAGTAATTAACTCGGGCAACGTACTAATCAAGGGCCACCAATACCAGAGCTTTCCTCTTCGATATTCAGCGATAGCGAAGACTAACCTGTACTCACCCACCATCTCTCACTACAATTACTTCAGCTGGTGTTGAAGTCTTAAAACCCCCACCCCCACTATCCGCGGCTCGGGTCGATTTTAGGAAGGTGCACGGTACGTACCCCATTACGTCGATTGCATGAGGTCCAACATGGAAGACGCACGAACCACCAACATCGAACCGAGCTATCTCACGACGACCTTCAAGGTCAACCTCAGATGTGAAGAGCTCCATCTTCCTTGATATCTCCATAAAAGACTTGGGTTACTTGGCCAATAACACGATGCCTGTCCAGCAACATGTGCTGAACTGGCTCTACAGCGTTCTCACAAGCGTACGTATCTCCTCCTCCATGCTTCCCCCGCTCGTTCAAAAGAGCTGACTTGAACGCGCTACAGGAATACCACGATGTGAATCGTGCCTACAACGATGTCGCGCAGGCTCTCGACCGATTCCCCTCGCTGTCGCCGCGAACCGATGTGCACAGTACGTTCGCATAGAGCTACCAACCAGCTTGCGCTCTAAACTCCAGCTTTGTCGCATTCGGATATTGACCCTCACCAGCGTTCTCGAATGGCGCCAATGCCTTGTTGCTTCATCTCTCGGGGACTCTCCCTGTTAATTTTCGCGGGACGACGTACCGTTTCCCCATTTCGATATGGGTGCCACACGCTTATCCGCGAGAACCACCCATGATATACGTTGTGCCGACTGAGACCATGATGATTCGGCCGGGACAGCATATCGATCCGCAGGGTCTGGTGTATCATCCATACTTGGTGGGATGGGCTGAATTCTGGGATGTACGTTGCCCCCAAGCCACAACTACATTGTGATGTTTTGTTGCTGACAGAATGATCAGAAATCTAACCTACGGGACTTTCTCAACATCCTAACCGACATCTTCGCAAAAGAACCTCCAGTCGTAGCTCGGCAACCACAGGCCCGACCACCTCCGGCTCAAGCTAATCCGACACCTCCTCCTGTGCCGCCTCTGCCTCCTGGCATAGGATCAACCTCGCGGCCTGCAACACAAGATCCGCATCCCTCAGAACAGCCACGCCCTCCTCCACCACCCCCGAAGGGCCCTCAGACTACATCGCCTGCGCAGACACAATCTCAAAATGGACCGCCTTTACCTCCAATCCCGGGACGCTCCCCGGCGCAGTCCAACCGCATGTCACGGTACGACTCAGCTCCTCCTCTGCCACCTCAAGTTGGAAGTCCAAATGCACAGGACCCAAGATTACCTCGCCCTCAGGACCAGTATGCGACTCGTCATATACCGCCTGCTGGACCGCCAATGGCTGCGCAACCTGGATACATGAACGATACCCAGTCGTTTGCGCCTCCGTCACAACAACAATGGCAAATGCCACCACAGCATCAGCAATATCAACAGCCTCCACAACCTCCGGCATGGACGGCCCAGTCAGCTCCACCACCACAAAGCCCTGCAAAACCACCACCACCTCCTGATCTACTTGATGAGCCATTGGAGTTAAGTTTGCCAAATAGTACCGTAGCGGCTCCTCCTATCCCGCCCAATCCCGAAAAGGATGCGTTGTTGCGACAGTTAGCTCAGACACTGTATTCGATCAGGATGCGCAGCCGGCAGCAGAACGACTCAAGCATGGCTGGTTTGCAGGCACAAAGAACAGCAATGCTGTCAGCGATACCAGCCTTCCAGGCTGAAGGTGGCCAATTGACACAATTGTCCAATGTCTTGACGTCAAACTCTAACATTCTACACGATGCTCTTCACAAAGCGGATGCAGTGATCGAAGGATCCAAGAGCCACCCTGTTCCGGATGTTGATGAGCTCCTTGTAGCTCCCACAGTAGTCGCAAACCAGCTATACACACTAGTGGCAGAGGAGAGAGCTATAGGTGACGCCATATTCATGCTTGGACGGGCTGTCGAGCGCGGCCGCATTACACCAGCAGTTTTTGCCAAGACGACAAGAACTCTTGCTAGAGAATGGTATCTGAAAAAAGCACTTGTGCGAAAGATTGGGCAAGGAATGGGCCTGGCCTCATGACGGGATACCATACGAGATTTGGATTGACGCAGCTCCCTTGCCAAGCGGTGGTTTAGTATTGTTCTTGCAGCTGGCAGCCGGGAAGAGCTCCAGGATTGGCATCGTGCATGGAGTAGCAGTTACGTGGCCAGGCACTGGGCAAACTACGACAAGTAAGAGGCGGATTACAACATACTTTTGAAACGAAGCCAAACGATTGAGTCGACCGGCTAGCTGGATGCTCGTGAAGTCTATCTTGCGATCTCAAGCCATCGATACGGCGAACAGCTCCCGATACGGTTGAGAAAGACTGGGCAGATTAAGAGTCTAACGATCGAGACCAAAGCGGATAGCTAAACTCTTGATATCAGACTGGACCCCATATCAAATCCACTCCCCTTCCCCCCATGCATGACGGCAATTGGCGTGCACGGAGTCAGGAACACAGGGAAAAAGAAACGAATCCGTCGCTTAGACCGTTAGCTCTCGGCCTGTCAAGATATGCACGGATCGATCTCCTGCACCGAACGAGTCTAGCGGGCTCAAAGAACAATACTAAGCCTCAAAACGCCACGAAATGCAAGAACAATACTAAGACCAACCTCACCCCCACCGACCTTGGCATTCTTGGCTGAATGTGATAAGACCCTTTGAATACAAATCCTGTTCCTTGACTACATTCTTCCTTGCCGCTGACAATATCTAATTATTGCTTGCCAAGTTAGCTTAACTGTTTGTTCTTCAAGACCGTTCTCGCCTGGTGTGATCTGTTTAACCATGTTGCCACTTTCTCAATTCTCTTCAGCGTTATACAAAACTTGCCTTCTCACTTCACTTCTCTCTACTCTCTTATATATATCTTGAAGAGCTCAGACCTCTTAGTTCTCCGTTCGCTCGTGAACTATATCCATCCATCTTTGCCACGTTGAGATCCGATTAGCATCTACCAACAACCAACTCCCCTTTCACTTACACTTCACTCCTTTCACTACTACCACTTATCAGATCGCAATGTCGACCTTTGATCCGTTTACGCAGAACGTGACGTTCTTGGCAGCAGATGGAAACACCACCATCAGCATCCCCGTGATGCTTGTTGACGAGATGCGTCGCATGATGGTCAACACCGTCATCAACTATGCCACACAGCTCGGCGCCTGTCTCGTCATGCTCGTCGTTCTCCTCGTCATGGTGCCCTTTTCAAAGTTCAAAAGACCGTTTAACGCTCTTCAGATCCTTAGTCTCGTTATCTGCTCGGTCAGAATGGTTCTGCTTTGTATCTGGAATATCTCCAAGTTTGCCGACTTTTACCCCTTCTGGTCTCATGACTTTAGCCATATTCCTACCAGTGGATATGCACCTGCCATTGCTGCCAATATCATCTCTCTCTTGCTCGTCATCTCGATCGAGACGATGCTCATGAGCCAGGCTTGGACGATGGTTAAGCTGTGGCCGAATCTGTGGAAGTATATCATCGCTGGTCTTTCACTCGTCATTTCTCTTATGACGATTTGTGTGAGGATTGCTTTCACGGCTGTTCAGATAGAGGCGAATCTCGATACCATTCCGCCGTGGCACATGCTCTGGCTCATCAAGTGGACGGTCATCATGAATGTGTCTTCAATCTCATGGTGGTGCGCCATCTTCAACATCAAGCTCATCTGGCATCTCATCTCCAACCGTGGTATTCTGCCATCTTACAAGACACTGAACCCCATGGAGGTCCTCGTCATGACCAACGGTCTCCTGATGATCATCCCAGGTAAGTCCCCCTCCCAACCCCTCGAATTCCCCACTAACCCTCCACAGTCATCTTCGCCTCTCTTGAATGGGCTCACTTCGTCGACTTCGAAGCAGCATCCCTCACCCTCACCTCCGTCGCCGTCATTCTCCCCCTCGGCACCCTCGCCGCACAACGTATCGCCGCCAGCAACGCCAACAGCGCCAACTCATCCGGCGCCTCCAGCGGCATCCGCTACGGCGTCAGCGGGCCCAGCTCCTTCACCGGCTTCAAGGCACCCAGCTTCAGCACTAACCGTAGCGGCGCCACCGACAGACCTCACGTCTCCGTGTACGCCCGCTGTGAGGCAGGGACTTCGTCTCGCGACCACATCAACCCCGAGGATGTTGAGCTCGGCAAGATCGACGGAGACCATGTCCGGGTTGACAAAGCCTTCTTGCAACGTGAAGAGCGGATCTAGGCCACCCTCTTCAATTTCAGATTCCACGAAAAGACTGCTTTTGGTAAATGGTATTACATGTTCATGTTTTCGACCAAAACAAAACTTCTAGCGCGGCGTATCGGCACAAGTTGCTTTCTTCGTTTTACTGCTTTTCTTAGCGAACAGCTTTCATACCCAATGCGGTTGACGATGCTTGAGATAACTCGCATCCTACTTTCTTTAGTTTATGATATCTCTTTTGAATCGATGGCTTTTAATCATGGACGATGCTATCCATGCGTTGCTTCTTTAGTTAAAAGATGGATAAGCGCTCAAGCGCACAATAGCGATGAATACATTCAGATTGCCAACCCTGCCTTGCCCACTGTGATGTCCAGTGTTAGTTTCAGAGTGCTATGTTATCAGCTGCAAGGTAAGACAGTCAGAATGTGATGTGAGTGATTGACACTATATACTGTATAACAGCTACCATCCAAGCCCGAGTCGCACCAAGATAACATAGCCAAGCCTACTCCTTCATCTGGAACTCGTGCGATGAGGCATTTATCTATTCGCTGCGGCCTCCTGAAATCCTTCTGAACTTTTCCTTGCACAAACTAACGAGTCGCTTCAGCTCATTTGCGCGTACCGGTCGAGGTTGCTCCAACTCACAGACTACCTTGGAGACAAATGTGTTGTGCGCGGGTACAGTCTGACGATCATTCTCAAGAAGCTCAACGAGTTCCAGTTCCTTTTCAATGTCGGGCAGAGAGAACCGGTTTGCCGCTCGGGAGAGGGCATACTTGGTGCGAGAGAACCGCCTTTGAGGTTCTGCGAACAAAGGAGGCGGCGCTACACTAAGTCCTGCCTCTCCATCTATGTTGAAGCCTGCCTGGGTGATGGAACTTCTAGGGAGGGACGATGGCTTTCCCAGCGAAAGAGGTGAGATGATTTCGTTGGTGAGGAGAGTTTGACCAAGAACGGGCTGACTGGGGATAGCATCAATTGAATGGGGTGATAGCGGTTCGTTGCTTGCAAACTCAGCAGCCTGACCATCATGCACCACAGTATCATCATCGGAGCCCCTAAGTTGGGATGGGGCGATGTCTCTCGAACTTGTAGTGCTCCATTCTGAGGGTATCCTTCGGTAAGATGTAGAAATCCGTCGAAGGGTGCCCTTGAAGGTCCTCAGAGGACCAACAACAGAACTCTTCCGCTTGTTGATTTTGAACATAGGCTGCTTACCAGTGTCGATTGGATGAGGAGAATCAATTGGAGGAACCTGGCGATCAAGGGACTCAAAAAGGTCGATCTTTTGCTTCAACGGTGAAATGTGTTTCTCTGTGTCACGCCGACCGACAGGAGTTTGTGGACTTTCCACCGTAGCCCGGCTCCCACGAGGAGCATAACTTTTGGACCTGAATTTTGGCGCATTCAATATTTCGGACTCCGAAGAATCGGAATATACCAAAAGAGGATGCTTCGATGGCGAGTTAGGCGCCTTGTTCTTGGTAAGGATTGACTCGCGCCTTTTGGTGTCAAGAGGAGCGACAGGGGCCACTGGCTGATCCTCCAACTGATCAAACTGCTTCCTGAGACTAGAAATCCTAGAACGTGGTAGGCTTGAGCGACTTGGGGTACTTGCTCTCGCAAACCTGAAAGACATGAGACCGCTGTTATTGCTCGCGGATTGGCTGGGAGCATCATGGGATCCACGAGATTTCCTTCGAAGGCTTGAACCTCCTGCAGCGACTGTATTTGACAATGAAGATGCTATCTTGCGAGCATTTCGCACCCAGCCATTCTGCCGGGTTTCGTCGACTTCGTTCTTATCAACAAAAACATCATCACGAGTATCATCAAGCTTGAATCGACTCGTAGATACCGCCTGCACAGATGATGGTGTCATTTCGGTGTACTGAGACTTGATGTAGCTTGGACTCGCATCAGGCGCACTCATGACGAGACTGTTACGCTTGAAAGAGGTCCATGAGTCGTCTGGCCGATTCAAAGGAGATCGCCATGTGCCAAAAGGATCGTCAGAAGCCAGGAGTGTCCGAGGTGAGGGAACAATACGAGACGTGGGCGAGAATGTCTTTGCAACGTGCATTGAATTCGGCGTAGTGGGAACATCGTCTGCTCGTGGTTCTGCGGCTGACCGCCTTGTCTTGACCGATTGCCAACTCTTGGAATGAGCCAGCTTTGATGGCGAACGAGGAATAGAAGTACGGGTGGGACTGGAGGCTTCTATTTCTATCAGACAGTCAATGCTTTCCTACAGAAGATACACCCGAAACACATACGCGCCTGTTGGTCTGCAGCCTCAAACATTATTCGTCTCTCTGCCACAGACTTTTGCCTTGCCTTTAAGTCCGTATTTCTAGTCGAGATCACAGGCGACTGGGCACCAAAAGTTTTTACTCGACGGGTACGAGAGGGTTCTTGGCTTGAAGGAACGAAACGACCAGACGAGACATGGCTAGAACCAGTGGAGCCTCTTTCTCGTCTCTTTGTCGATGAATGAGATGATGGCTTCGAGGCGCTTGATGAAGTTTGCTCAATTGTCGAGGTGACCTTGATGGCAGAAGTGGGCTTCGTCTTTGATGAAGGAAGAGGGGGGCTGCCAACGGAGGAGACTGCTTCAAGAACCTCAAACTTTGAGAGAAGCTGGGCGAACTTGCTGCTGGTCAAGCTGCGGGTATCTGAGCTTTCGGAGACGAACTTGCGTGGTGAATTCTTGCGGGAAGACGAATGCGTGCTCATGTTGGCGGCCTCCAAAGACGGGCGAGGCTGTGATATTGATGAAGATCACGTCTTGATGGTATAATATCACGAGAAAGTGTCGAATGTCGATGCCGTCAAAGTCTGTTCAAAAGATGAGGATGAATCTGCCTGGAATAACATTGTAGAATCGACAGAGATGTCATGAGTTTGGCAGCTGGAGACGGTAAGGCCATGATTGCAGAGGGAAGGAACACCCTCGCCCGATCGCATAAACCGCAAGGAAAGCGCGATACCGACGATGCACATGCCTACCGAGCTACCTAGCACTGGAACCTACGGCAAGGTACATATGCACCGCAAGCCGTATCCTCAGAAATAAATGTCTCCAGTCTGTTGTGGTTAGCATAACAAAGGCGAGTCTTCACAGCATTCGACCTAGCCTTAGGAGCCAAATAGGAGTAGGGGAGACGTCTTATCATTTCCAACCCCAGCCGTAACGGCCATGTCGATTTCTATACAGCCCATATCATAATGCCCAAGTCAGGCACAGGCCAACCTTGAAATCCCATCGTGTCTAAACGTACACTTGACGCCAACTAATGTACAAGTATTTCGATTATGTAGTTCATGAGGGATGCGCAATCCCTACTCATGACTGTTTTCCCGTCCTCCAAATTCTTGATCGCGTATCGTTGCGGCGTCATTTACTGGCTGTCGAGGGATCAGTTCGTGTTCGTCGAGGCTCGCATGCCGGGTCAACTTACGGAGGCAGAAGGATCTCGCCCCAAGAGCTAGACAAGAATGTCACAACAGCCTAATTCCTTCATCAGCACTGGTTCATCTTCAAATTCAAGATCGCAAGACCAAACTTACACCAAAGATGGCAATGCTGCGGACGACAGCGGCGTTGTCGGGAGAGGTAAGAGCGTCATAGGTGGAGCCGATGAAGCCCTTGGGGGCACGGCGACCGCGAGGCTCAACTTGGATGCGCTTGGGAGGCATTGTGATTATATGATCGGGTATACGAGGTTTATGGGTTCGTGATGACTCTAAGTCGAGAGAAGAATCGGGCGCGTGGTTGTCGTTGGTCTGGTCGTCGAATTGGAGCGAAAATTTCCGGTACAGCTCGCAATGAAGCTTTTCCACTGATAGCGCGATAGCGGCTAAAGTCACATGACGCGCGCTTGTGAGATGCAACTTGGAAGTTCAAAGCCTACAGAAAAGATGGAATGCAGTATTATTCCAATCAAGTTCAGTTAGAAGCAGTATTATAGGAAGTCAAACTTATCCCATTTGCTCAAAAGTCTCGACTTGTTATCTCAATCGTACTTGTACTTGTTTATGCTGGTCCAGCTCCTGGGCACTACAAAAACCGAGTACGTACCGAATCCGGCAGTTACCCCACCATGACTGAGTATCGCCAACACCTTCGTCATCTTTATCGCGGCTGCTCTTATTAATTATGCTTGGAACAGTCTCTTTGTCATAACCGCCGTATATAATTCATCAAATCCACCCACAAAGAATTATACCTGTTTTTTAAGACTTCATCCTAATCTCTTGAAGACCCTCTTGATAGTAAATAAGTTTTCGTTCTGGCAAAGACAGAGGCAACAACAGTGCTTCACTTTCACTCTCGGCATTCACCCTTTGTGCTCACTCTTCTTTCATCAACTTACCTTGCACGTATAAACCGAACTTCATCGCGCAAAGGACATAAATATTGAAAATGGAATCCCCAGGCCCCGGTGGCTTCTTGCCAGCACCTGCTGGTGCAAGTCTTCCTTCACCTGCACCCTCATCAGCTTCATCATTCTCAAACATCCAAGGTCTTCCTACACCAAGAACGAAGGCCCTGAAACCCAACTCAAGTAAAGAGTTCATGGTGCGAAGATATGCCGAGGAACAACTTCTACTAGTAACACGGCGATATGTCAAGAAGTTTGGCAATCCAGAACCCGGCGATACAGTGGTGGGATATACTAGATTTGGCGAAGTATGCCGAGATCTCGATAGCATCACCAATATTTTGTGGAAATCAGGCACTCGTAAGTCACTCAAATCCATGGATCGAAGTCTAACACTAATAATGGGCAGCATCCCTCCAAATACCCTTCTTGTTACGTCTCACAAGTGACTTCACACGCTATGTCCGCTCATTCCCTCCCGCACCAAAGGCTTCATTCGCAATACTCCGCAAACTAGACCACTGCTTCGCAAGTCTTCTTTCCGGCCAAGACATCGAAACTCACGAGACATTACCCGGATTTGAGAACGGACTACGCGGTGGCATGACAACGACAGAAATGATTCGGTGCCGAAGTTTAGTTGATCAATGTCGCGTTTTGATGGTGGAAGTCATGCGAGATCCAGCTGAAGAAGACGAAGAGGATGAAGAAGCAGAGACAGATACCGACACAGACGCGGAAGAACCGGGGATCAAGGGATGGGGAGGCGTGGAGGACGATGATGAGATGATGCTCCAGCTTGATGCGGCACGGGTCTTTGAGAAGACAATTGTGCAGCTCAACGAGAGACTCGGTGATCTGGAGCCATTGCAGATGTCTGCTGATTGAGGTGTTCTAAATTCAGAACCGCTATATTCCGGAGATTCAGGTGCCGCGCTGAATGAGCTGAAGTGACTAGTTTCAGGCGTGATCATGCACAGATATGAGCTGAACCGTTAAGCTATTCATCGTGTGGGGTGAGCATTGATCATGGTGCTTGGCTGCAGGACCGTCTTGGGTAATGCTTCACGAAGAGAGATGAACCGGCTCTTCTGTAACATGGGGATATATAGGATTTGATAAGGTTGGTAGATCAGTGGGGGATGAAGTGAATGACACCAGCACAGACAGTTGATTGTCGAGATCACGCATGGTGTTAGATATCCGAGAATCGTGGCAAATCTGCGATGGATCAGCCATCTACAATTAACCACGACTCGAGAATTATTTCTGATCGACTTGCTCAACTACAGTAATAATGAAACAGCCATTTACTTGACTACACGTTGCTGGGCCGTGATCTGTCAATTGAGGCTGTGACTGGCCTCACCTGTCAAATCGTGAAACACATGGCGTCGGAAATTTAATTACCAGTTCTCGACACTACCAAAAAGCCAAGCCTCAGTCAAAACCCCGCTGCTCAATACATTTGACTTTCCGAATCGTAGATCGTCTTAATGATTGACAGTAGCATAAACTCTAACTGATTGTCTCACGGTAGCCGAGATGCACTTTTCTCAAAATGGCAACGAACCATTATGATACAAAGAAGCACCTCTAAAAATACAATGACTGAGATATTCAGTATTGAACTATATGCATAATATCGTGTCTTTATCAGACTGTAGCATGTCCTTGTTAGTCCCTCTTCATCCCTGACACCTCCTTTCTTGAGCCGCGTAGGCTTCTTTTCCTCGTTGGTTAATGATTCTCACGGTTTTGTTTCATGTACCTGCCAAGATCCAAGCACCATCCATGTCCACCACCAGTAACCGCTCACCAAGTCGTTACCTTATTTTCACAAACAATTTCACAGAATTCAAGAGTATTTTCTTCTCGGAGATGAATTTCTTGTCTGGTATGAATGGTCTGGGGTTCATATTGGTCGGCGAAAGCGAAAATGATATCCATATTTTCTCTGACCCCCTGGTTTATTTCCGATGGCACTAGTTAGCCCCGGTTCATACGCTGCCACGCACGTTTTCTGTGAAGAAAGTCATCTTGAGGTTGGTGAGAGTGCATTATCTTGGTCAATGTTAGGCATGAATGCGCTGTACACGACGAACTTGGCACATCGTGGTTGGTAGTGAGTACTACAGAGAGCATCAACTCCAGGCTTGGCTTCTGCAGCTCCATATCAAAGCTCCTCTCAACAACGAATCAACTCCAGAACAAATCTTCAAAACATAGCGTCTTCCAACCCCTGCCCTCTCGTTTTGTGGCGTACCTATCCCGAAGTGCTAGCTCCATTCCCATAAACCCATCACGTCAAACCATCCAGTCATGCTCCTCCCGTCCCTGAACATCACCCGCCCGCCCAGCCTTTGATTCATGCAACACAATTCTACCCCATGTTCTCCGTACCCCTTTGGGCAACTGAGCCCCGAGGTGAACAGGAAACATCCGGTCCTCACATCTCGTTTCTGTCTCCCCTAACATGGAGGACTCCACTCATAAGAGCCGTATATATAGAACAATGCGCATGTAAACTCGTCTTGTCTTCCTCTCCACACCGGTCTTTCTTTCTGTGTCTTGACGTTCTTTTCTGACCTCTTTGCTTTCGAGATACGTGTTTCTCAAGCTTCTTTCGTTCCTTTTATATACATCGCCTTCTCCGGTTTCATTCCTTTAGCCCTGGAGGCATAACATTCCTTACCTGTGACATTTGTTCTCGTCCACTCTTTTAGAACTCAGTATCAAAGACACATTTTATAGTTCCGATCAGTTCCACTCCGACTTACACGATGCTCAACTTCATTCCCATCATCGCCGGCCTCGCCTCCCTGGTCTCAGCTACCAGCGCCCCAACCCGCCCCGATCTCAAACTCATCTGGAAAGACGAGTTCACCGGATGTCAAGGCTGCTCACCCAAGACGAACAACTGGAACACTGCTCTCAACATCAACTCCAACAACGAACTCCAGGTGTACTCCACCTCCAACAAGAACATCCAACTTTCCGGCGGTGACACCCTCCAGCTCGTTCCCTGGAAGGATGGGAAGGGCGAATGGACCTCTGGACGTCTTGAGTCCAAGAAGGCTTTCCACGCAGACAAGAACAAAGCTCTTCGTGTAGAGGCTAGTATTCGCATGGGTGATTCAGCTCGTAAGCAGGGTATCTGGCCTGCGTTTTGGATGCTTGGCGATGCACTCCGCCACGGAACTGGATGGCCCCTTTGCGGTGAGATCGACATTTTCGAGAGAGTCAACGGTGACTTGACTGGTTTCGGTACTGTTCACTGTGGTCATGAGGGCGGCGGTCCATGCAATGAGCCCGAGGGTCTCGGACAGCGAGTCACTATTCCAGACAACGAATTCCATGCTTGGTCTGTGGTTATCGATCGACGGGCTAGTAGCTGGCAGGATGAGAAGATCACCTGGCTGCTTGATGGACAGCCATTCCACAGTATCACGGGCAAGACACTAAACGATGAGGGAACTTGGGCTACTCTGGCTCATTCTCCCATGTACATTCTCCTCAACGTCGCTGTTGGCGGAACCTGGCCCGTAAGTTCAGCAATTTTATTATTTCAAGGTATCAGAATATTAATCTTTTAATTCAGGGCGATCCTAACAAGGCCACCGAAGCCGGCTACAAGAACATGATGGAAGTCGCCTACGTCGCCGTCTACGAAACCACAAACTAGCTACCCTCGTAACTAGCAATTCTTCAAAACTCGTTTCAAACTTCTTCCGCCAGCCCTTGCCTGGAACTTTCTTCATTTCCTTCCCACCCTCGTCTACCTGAGGGTGCGCGACCATCGAGTCCCTTTGAGACTGGTCTCTCTGTTCGGCTCGACGGTTGTTTGCTGGATTCAACCCAGCTTTGTCTTGTTCCATTCCGCTGTATAACTTACGGATACCCAAAGTTCAATATCCGTGCAGCGGATCGGTGTAGATAGATACTTAGTAATAAAACAAGACTCACGACGTTATGACACAAACTTACGCCCAACTCAGTAATGTGACTGCGGTGCTTTTGGCCCTAGCGTGACAATGTTTCCCAATCATGTAAGCTCTGTAGCATACTTATTTATGTGAAAGTGATACTCTAGTAACTGGTACGATAAGCATCCTGGAAACAAGCTTCTTGGGGGGTTCTCGATGGGTTCTAGTGGCATGAAGGCCAGATCCATGTCAACGCGCCCCGTTGCCATGGAATATTAGGGAACTACGTACCCCTCAGGGAGTAAGGAAACTTCTGATATTAAGCCCAGGTGCTAGAATCAACTAGTCTAAAGGCGTGCTAAGATAGACTAAACTTACCCAAGTCCTT